AGTACTGGAACAAAAACAGTCTCCTGCAAGAAAAGCTGGTACAAAGTGTTAATTGCTATTTTGAATCAGAGCAGGGAGGTGCGGATGGAGGAAGCTTAGAGCAACATAGGTGCTACTGATCTCTTGAAGGACTGTGATATATATAACAAGGACAGACGCCTGTACTATATCATTCCAGTTCGCCAAGTCTTCTGAAGGACTTAGATCCTACGAGGCCAAACACCTGCAGTTTCGTATGTAAAACCTGTGACAGTTCCCTCTGCCATCTGCCCCGGAGGACACATGTGGCCAACTTGCTCTGTCACTAAGGATAATGATAGAAAACAGGCTTCTATGAGGAGAACATAGTGTAGAGAGAAGCCCTCCTTCTGACCACCCATAAATATGTGTGCCCATGAGACTGAGATGTCATCATGAGATTACACGTACACATTGCATGAAAACATGGCAATGGGGAGCTATCGTAGCTGTTACTGCACAAGCAAAATTACAGATGAAAGCAACAGTTTTCAGAGTCTGATCGTAACCCTTGCTGACGGGTTGACATCTGAATTATCGATTGCTATGAGCTGGAATTGTGTCATGGCCCATAATAGCTCATGATAAACGTTCCTGACCCAAAAAATAAATAAGACAAAAACAAAAAAACCAAAACAAACAAAAAACCAACCAAACCTACTGAAAAGAAAACAAGAAGACCCAAATGAACAAATTAAAGATGAAAAAGAGGTCACTACGGATTCCAGTGAAGTTCAGAGGTCACTAGGGGATATTTTGAGAACATTCTAAAAACCTGGAAAAATCTAGGAGAAATGGATAGAGCTCTCGACCTAAATGGGCAACCAGATTTAAATCTATGTCCGATTTAAACAGATCCACAACTGAGGTGAAAGCAGTAATAAAACTGCCAGCAAGGCCCAGGCTAGGCAGTTTGTTTATACTTGCTAAAGAAAATCATTTTCTAATCTCTATGAAAAGGGACATGTAGCTCTCTCCCACTAACATATGACTGTGGTGCCTGCTGGCATGTGAAGGTCATTGCTGCTCTCTGGGCTCCCCGGCCCTGGCTCCTAGGCTGGTTCTCCTCTCAAATGCTCAGGAGAACCCCACGTGGCTTCTCTCTGCTTTCCAGGGAGACAGCCTTTGCAGTTGAGGGTAAGCTTCTCCTTTTTACCCACGGGGAGGCTGTTTTGGTTTCTCCATTGCACCCATTTTTCACTCAACAAGATGACACAGTGCACTTATATAGTACATTAATCCCTGCCCCATGTGAAATATGAGGGTTCCTTTCTAAATTCAAAACACGGGGCACGAGTGATTTCCTTCCTTTCTCTCTCTCTCTCCACCTTCCTTCCTCTCTCTCTCTTCCTTTCTCTCTCTCTCCCTTCCTCTCTCTCTTTTCCTTCCTCCCTTTCTCTCCCTTCCTTCCTTTCCTTTCTTTTTTCTTTCTTTTTCTCTCCCTTTCTTTTTCTCTCCCTTTCTTTCTTCTCTCTCTCTCTCTCTCTCTCTCTCTCTCTCTCTCTCTGTCTCTCATTCCTTCCTTCCTTTATTTTAGTAATGCTATGTGTTTATTTCCATGTTCTCCAAGTTTAACCCCCTCCCCCCTTTTCGCGATGGATGCCCCATTTCCCACAAGTTCGGTAGCAGCTGCTGGGAGGGCTCCTTGTGGATCCATCCCATTTGCTCTGTTCCTTGGCTTTGCGTGTGTGAGAGTCTCCATTCCGTCTCCCGTGCAGGGAAAAAGGATAATTTCCTGTTGTCCTTCCCAGGTCCATGAGCAGCAGGAGCAG